GAGCAAATTCACTTTCGCACGCAATTAAAAATTAGTCAATAAATTTTTTTTATCATTTTAAAAATAAAAACTATATAATAAATTCAATTAATAAAAAAAATAATAAAAAAAAATCATTAAAATTCGAAAATTTGTATTTGAAAATAAAAAATTAAATTCAATTACAAAAATATCAGCTCTAATTAACCATCTGTCATTGAAAACTAATATATTTGAATTGAATTTTTTTGCTTCAATATTTTTAATATAATTTATAACAAAATTTAATTTAAGATTATATTTGACAAACTCTCTATGCACATTTATTTTAATTTGGGAGATTTTTCTTTTATTTTTTTAGTAAAAACATTTTTAATACACTTGCATGCAAGGATAATATAACAGTGTTCATTCACTGTCATTAAAATTAACACGGGTCATGGTTATAAATTTTGTATTTTTCAATAAGTATAAAGCAGTTATTCTCAAGCTGTACATCCTTTTGTTATCGCTGCCTGTTGATTATACCTTGGAAATTCGATACAATGTGATTTAATTAAATTAGGGCTATAGAACTATAGAGTACACTTCAATAATAAATACTAGTGTATAAGCTATGTAGTTTTACACTGTTACCAGAAATATATAAAAATATTGGGAAACGTTTTTATAAAATAGAAAAATAATTTATCCTTTTTTTTTTTAAATATTTTTTTTTAATTTTCCTTTTTTTATTATATTATCCTTTTTATATTTAAAATAATGATGTGGACATTCTACTTTGTATCTAGCTAAAATGACTGTTCATGTGAACAAATTAGTATGCATAAATTGTTGTGTTCACCTTCATGAACGCAAGTGACATAAAAATGCATTTATTTTAAAATATAAATGTTCCGGGGAAAATGGTGTAACTTGAGCAAATTTAAAATAATTTCGTGGGAAAATTAAACGGGGTCGTTATTCAGTACGATCAGAATTTTATTAATATTTAACTTGCAAGACTGATTTAATAATAAAGTGGCATTAAAACTTAAATAGAATTGTTGTTGGTTTATATATTGGCTAATGTTGTCTGAAAAATTTCTCATTTGCAAAAATGGTTTCACTTCAACAGAGTGTCAGTAATACAATTTTAACATTTCCATTCATTCAAACACAAAAACACTTTGTAAATGTTCCGCGTATATGAATAACGTCTTTAAAATTTATAGTTCATTTTTTAAATACACACATACATACTTATACATTAGTTTTTTAAAACTATTTTTACAAGTAATAATAATAAGGTTTTTCAACTCTACTCACACGCTCTATATTGTTATTCATATTGCAATATTATGTAAATCTGATTGAGTATATGTGGAATGCATACTTTGAATATATTCTTATGTACTTTTTTAATTATAATTGTAAAAATACATACTCTATGTATGTATATTTGAGACTGGAGGTATGCTATCGCTTATTTTAATTATTAATTGTGTACAAACTTGTTCTCCCTTCTCTCATCACTCTCTTATTCTATACAATATATAATATATGTGCATTTCGTTACCGTTCTGTTGTGTCAAAATGTTAACATTTTATTGAAAATTAAAGAGAATTGAGAGACGAAGATGGAATGGAGACGAGACATGGAGAATATAACATTCTCGCTTAAAGTTAAAAAATAACTTAGTGTCTTTGTTTGACTGGGTCCCTTATTCTTTATGAAAAATTAAAAAAAAATAGAAGAAAGGAGATAATAAAACGTGACAAAAATTTCATTAAAAGAATTTTTTTCTCTGTTATTCTATTTGCAATGAAAATATTGCATTCCATTTTATTACCACGTTCACATGCATGTATTAAGCATTAAAAAAATATGTAGTATGTTTGTATGTGAATTGTACTTATATATGTATAGAAACCATTATCTTTGTTTAATGTGTGCAAAGTTCGTTATATTATGGTAACCTGCATATTTTTATTGACAGGGGTTTAATATGGTTTTTTTTTTTATTTATTTCTTTTCGTTTTTTTTTTTTCGTTCCGTATTTCATGTTATAAAATTTACGACATGTTGAATATTTTTTAGCTGTGAGAGGAAATTAAAGGTTTTTGTTTTGTGTTTTTGTTTTTATTTTGTGTATGCGATGAGTGAATGTTAATCGAGAAGATGTTATAACATTATTACTGTTAGGTACTATTTGTATGCTGTTAGATGATGGGGTTTTAAATTTTCTAAATGGGATTTTATGGAATTTTGGTAAAATGTTAACGTTAAAAAATTTTTCAATAAAATTTTGTTTTATTTTTTCTTACATTTTTTTTTGTTGGTTAAACATTTTAGGGGAAATTAAAATCCATTTTCAAGTGAATGGTGATTGAAAGAATGCTAATTAAAATGCTTTTAGTTTTTTTTTTCTTCTTTAAATATTCTTAATTGTAGAAAAGAACCCCGGGGATTATGCTTTTAATTAATTTTTTTTTTAAGCTCAATTTAATATACGTGATTGTTTACATGTACTCGTATTTAGGGAAATTTTTAAAATTTCAGAATGAATGGAAATGACACCTTCTCGTCTGTTCTTGGTGATTGAAAAGTCATTTAAAATACTGATAGTGAACTTTTAGAAAGTGAATTTGTTGCATGCCAGAGATTTAAATCACCAGAATAAAATCCAATTGCCCCTTTTACCGCCACGTAGATAGTCGGTCAAGTTTTGCTCACTTTTAGATTAGACACAATATTGTTATCATTCCACCAAAATGTATAAAACGCTGAATAAACGCGTTCTCTATTTTTCTAAAATCTCACTGCATTTTTTCCAAATAATTTGTGAAAACAACATAAGACACAGTTTCATTCGCACCACTGTCGTTAAAGTAAAATCAGGTATCTTCGTAAACAAAACCGATTCCGTTTTTGCAGAGTTAATGAAAAGTCCATAACGGTCAACTTATATAGTTATTTTCCATGACTTTTTTCATTATTGTACGTATAACGACATCCGCATAAGTAGAAATCCTGAACCGCTTTCCTTGACGAGCCTAGGAAAACATACGATAATAAAGACCTGAAGATACCCTGTAAACTGCGGTGTGTCTTTCAACGACATCCACCGAACCTCCTCATAGTAAGCTTTCTTTTTCTCTTAATAAAAATACTACCTATTCTTATGTCTAGTATAATAGGCTCAACTTTCGCATTATTAAAAGCGTCTGTAACAGAAAAGAAAGCAGTTGGCGTATATTTCTTGTTCTTTAGACAATTTTCATTTGGCATCACCACAGATTATATGTTCTCTCTATATGTTTATATGTTATATGAGTACAGATGTACTCCTAGTGTGCGCATGTTGATCATTTAATCAACTTACCTCATTCTCCTGACTTCTTATATACTTTACGAGAAGGTTCTTAATGGTTTTCAGTACGAAGAAGAACAAACTAATTGGCCGGCATGACTAGCCTTACCCGGATATAGGCACAAAGATTGTTTGATTTTTCTTTGATCTCCATATATAAGATAAGTAATCTAAGTACAGACAGCTGCGAACGATTACCGTCTATTGTCATTTTAAAGTTAATTTACAGCAAATTTTTTATTTAACCACCCTTGTATACCTTTTCCTTTTAAGAACATTTTATTATTCAATTTTATTGAATATATGTAGGTACAAAAATTACTTCCTCTAAGAACTTATCTCATCGATTTTGTCTGTATTATTATCCATTTTTAATTAAGAAATCTTCTTGGATTACAAAAATTAATCAAATAGGTAATTTTGATTCTTATAGCAAAAAAATAACTAATCTTAAATGTTAAATAATAACAGGTGTATATGGAGAATTGTTTTCTGAGATACAATGTAATGTGAATATTTGTAATCATTGGTATAATCAAATCGATAATCCTTTTATAGTTATCGTGTATCAAGTTTATTTAATGAAAGAATACACAACTTACTTTTTATTTAGAAAATCATCTTGATTCTCATCGTATTCTCTTGTGTTTTCCCTCCGTATTCCTTGTGTTTTTTTTTTGTTATATATTTTTTTTTCTATTTCTAAAAGTTGTTTTGCAAGGTTTGTAGTTCTCTCATTGCTTGTGTGATTATTTTTATTTTATTGGAACAAATAGATATCCTAATTCTATCTGCTTAATTTTCCGACTAATTCTTCTGTAATACTTTATGGGTTGATATTATCATATTGAAATTTGTATTTTACCTTAAACGGAATTGTTACATGTTTAGCAGAATTTAATTCTTATGTGTGCTTGCCTTCATTGCAAGGTGCTATCTTATTTTTATTATAATTCTCATTATATTATTGTTGTAATTGTTTTCCAGAGTAATCGTGACATTTGAAGAGTAGGAAACCATAGCAATCCTTGATTGTATAATGTACTAATGAAATTGGAAAGAATTGGAAAAATATATCTTTATAACAATTCAAATGACGACTTCATATGGTTATGAAAACAATCTTTTTCAAAAAGTTGACGCCAGTACTTATTAATTTCACAGGAATATGATCTCACAAGCATGATTTTTATCTACTAATTGTGCCTGTTACATACGTCTCGATAGTGTTTCGAAAGAGAAATAAATGATTGTGAATAGTAGCCTCTTTGAGTGTTGTGATGGCTATGCCCAACAACTATGCAACGAAAGTTTTATTATTTCTGTATTTCAAGTAACCCAGTCTACTCCTAATAAAGGCAAGAGACATGACTGTACGAAGTTGGTCTTTGAATTGTGGTCCACATGTCTATTGTGATCAAATAAATTAATTGTTTTTTTGATGACAACTCCATAAAAATAAGGAGGCATCTACAAATTAGCTTGGATTCTCTCTATCTGAGGTTTTCCGATATATTTAAGTGAATTGCTAATGTAATTTGACTAAACTTACTAAAGTTTCTGGTCAATATTACCATAATAATTCCAATTAGCTCATTAATAAAATTAAATATCAATTTCTTTGACAAGTAAATCAAAATATTTCTTATTGTATAATTTTATTTCCAGGGCACATCCAACTGAAATCCAGAAGGACATAATATAAGTAAACCGAAATTAAGGTAAGTTCCATTATTCTATTATCCACAATTGTTTATGGTGAGGGCTAGTATAACATTTATTTATAATCATGTTTCGGATGTCACCCATGTTCCATTCCGGAATTCAGAAATATTTTAGATCAGTAAAATATTTTGATGTTCCCAAACCAAAGATTATTGTTGGAATAAGTTTTTGGCGAGAATATTGTGCGATGTAAATTGCTATAATTATTAAATCTTGCATTAATTCAAAATTTCGATATAACAAAGCCAACATCAACCGTAGTTATTCAATGAAAAATTTTATGTCTTGTTGAAGACTTCATAATTTATTATTCATTTCAATTCCCTATAAAGTTTTTGGAACTATTTCAAGTTCTTTTAAACAAAAAAAAAACAGAAACAACGATATTAGAAAGTATTCATGTGACAATTTTTTGTAAAAATTTCTAAAATCATATACGTTTTAGAATTCGTTTAGGGAATTAAAAGAAAAAAAAAATGTCGAGTTAAAAAGTGGTTATAATTCACTCTAGTGGCTTTTCAATTTATTGTTTCAGTTAGTGTGTATTTTGTGTTAAATGATGTTCATTCTAGTATAAAATTTTTTCGCAAATACCATGATGGTATCGTGAAAAATGTATTTTCATGAATGTTTGAGTACAATATGTGTTTAAAATTTAAATAAGAAGCAAATAAGCAATGACTTTTTTATTGCTGAAGCGTAAGTCGTTTCTTTCAACAAGAAAAAAAAAAAATTGTGTGAATTAATAAAATGGCGTTGAAAAATCATTGACAAATTTGGGTATTACATCTATTTTTAACTGAGATATGGATTGTATAGGGTATGTGAATAACACCAAGTCTTTTGTTGTAGATAATTGTATTGAATTGAATTTTGGAATTCCGCAATTCCTAAAAAAAAGCAAGAATAATTAGATTCTTTTACTATGAATGCCTGAAATGTCGCATCTTTTGTATGCTGTAGATTACTGAAGAGAGGTATGGGTAAAGGAATCCCATATCTCCACAGCCAACGATGGTTTCACTTATAATACCCAAGGCTCGTCACCTACCTAGTAAACTCAATGACGTAAGAAACTGATTCATGGTTATCTACAATATCGTGCACAAGCCCTATGCTACCAGAAGCGAAGTATCAATAAAAAAAAAATAATATCCAAGTAAACACTATGAGATATCACTCAGGGAGTTGGATGTGAGCTGCCCAACCCTGAAACCTCTCACTTCCAAACATCTGGGACTACTGACGGACAGAGCTGGACAGTCACATAGAATATATATGGTTATCTTATTTTCCCAGTTTGTGAAAGGAATATTTCACTGGACAGAAGAAGGCAGTGTCCGTTTCTGATGTGGAAGAGAAGGCGTATCTTGGGGGCTTATTTTTACGATGACCTGGGGGGCCTTTCCAAGATGTCTCTTGCGCGTTTTTTGGGCTTCGCCAGGATGGTTGGCTGGTTTGGATAAGGCGTCTTGTGTGTCGAACTGCATGGGGGTTGTTGGATGTTTCTGGGGGTTGCTGATGGGCTTTTTTCTGTTGGCCTAGTGCATGGGCTTTGCGCGGGTGAACGGGTGGAGCCCCCCTCTCTAAAAATTTAATTTCATTTTATCACATTTTGATTTTAAAGATTTTATTAATAGAGAAACGTACAGTATGTGGGAACATGAGTGGGTAATAAAAATAAGATCCGTTCAAAATTTTATACTATGATTTCTTCATTGTCAAATACAATCGTTTACAATGCTATTTTTCATTCTAATATCCTTTTTTTTTTGCTATAACTACGCCAATTTTATTCTTTCTCTTTCTTTCGATTTTAAAAGCAATTCAAAAGAAGTAGAATCGTGTATGCCTGTATGAAACATTTTATTTTTTTTTATCTTTTATTCTGAGTACACGCACACTCATATCACTTAAACGTGTGAGAAATCGTTATTCGATTGCAGATCTCTTAAGTTTCAATGTCGTTTTCAATGAAAGAAGCGTAAAAGAACATAATAGAAGAGAATTTTTTTTTCTGAAATTCGAAAAAAACTATTTTTTTTTTTATTGTAATGTTCGTTAGTTTTTAATTCTACACGTCTCATTTATACGAGTACCAAAATTGTATAGTTTTATTATTTTCACACAATTTTATGTAGTTTTAGGTTTTTTAGGCATGAATATATGTAGGTATTCATATATGTAGACATATTGTTAGCTATTGTTTCACGTAATATACACTGGCCTGCCCCTTGATGAGATCTAAGGTAGTGTTATAATAAAAATTGAAATATCACTAAGTTATAACAGAACTAGTTTTTCTACGCTTCCCTACTATAGAGAAATGCGTTTCTATCGAAATTGAATGCAATGCGTTCGGTAAACATTTAAATTTTTATTCAATTTCGGCGGGATTAAACCAAGATCACAGATTTATCCCTATTTTCAGCTTAAGTTATAGTTAGTAACAGTTTAAGGTACTCTTAAACTTATAGAAAACGCGTGTTTAAGATTAATTATTTTATATTCACCCAATATTTTTCACCTCTTCAATACGAACTATTATTTTCTGGCACACTTTATAAAAATAATATTACAAAATCCTTGAATTATTGAGTACAAAATGAAAAAAGAGAAAAAATAGCAATGAATAATGAAAATATATAGAACATGGTCGGTTAAATCAGTGCCAAAGAAATTGATTTATATAAATTTTTTTTTACAAAGTAAAGAAATCATTACGGAGAAATGCCTAAGAAATTTTTCCAATGTAATATGTAGGGGATAATTTTATTATTTTTTTCCATTTTCTTTAAACCCAAAATGATTTTCCAACTAAGTTCCTGTTTTGAAGTTAATTGTTTCCACATCAAGCCATATATTTATTTTTTAAAATGTTTAAGTTTTGTAACACGATGTTTTTTTTTAAGTATGTGATGTAGGTGTAAATTATGTGATTTTTAATCATTATGAAATAAATAAAGGTGTAATTTGGAGCTTGCTTTGAGTTTTTTACATTAAAGCAGCAAAAAAAAAAAAAAAATGAAAAATTGCATATTTTTAGGCGAATCTTAAAAACAATTACTTTTAATAATTATTATTAACTTTTTCTCAGACCTTTCAACAAAATGAACACAACAGTGTTAATTGGTGCCTGAAAAAATGAGGTTTCCTTCAATAGGGGCGGATGTTGTTTCACTAAAACTGCGTTCCAGACAGACGATTTTTCATATTTTATTGATTTTCATAAAAATTGCATTCCAGACAGCCATTTTAAAAGATTCTCATTATCTTAGGCCTAAACCTATTTATTATTTATTTACACCAGTTGACAATACATCCCATGCCCTATATGCGCATTTTATCTCTGGAATAAAATCTTTAATTCCCTACGATCCCATAAGAATTCCTAGAAAAATTAATTTTTTCCATGAAATTCTTTTCTATAATAAAAAAAAAAAAAACAAAATTTGTGTTAAAATTTTTACATCTTGATTTTAATTGAAATTTCAAGAAGTTTTCCCTTGCTTTCATCTTAAAATCAATTGCAAGAGACGCGAGTCGAAAAAATGTACCAAAATTTTAAAAAAATGGAGTCAAAAAATTTTTTATTTTCTTACTTTTGTTTAATTAAAAGGAAAATCGTGTACGAAAATTTTTCTTGAGAAAAATTCAACTTTTTTTTTATTCGTTTTTGCATTTGAACACAAAAAAAAAAAAGAAAAATGAAAAAAAAATTTTAAGGGCGGAAAAATTTTTCAAAAAAAAAAGAAATATTTTTGTGTCCTTTTCGAAATATTTTTATTCCTCCTTTGTCATTTCTTTAAGATTAAAAAATTTAAGAGAGAAAATTTTAACGTGCCTCATGTTTCAATTTAGCACCCAATTTTTGTATTCTGTGAATGAATTTTAAGTGTTTTTTAAATGTTAAAATAACAAAGAACGGTGGAGGGAACTGTGGATTGAATTAAGGTGCGTACTTGTTTGTTTAAAAATATTTGCACCCATTTATTGTTGTTGTTCTTTCAATAGTACCTTCGTCGTATTTTTTCTATTCCTTTGTATTTTTAGTTACTAAATCAATTCAAATTGGATGAATGCGAGGAGGGGGGAGGAGAACAATGTAAGGGAAGACAGTGAACTTTAAACTTGGTATGCAAATTAAAAATGAGCAATAAATTTAATATTAATACATGTATATTGGAAAGAGATAGAGAATTTTTATATTTATTAAGAAAAAATAAATAAAAGTATGAATAATAATTATTTTAAAATTTAATTAATATTCATACGCTTCTCTCGTTTTTTAAATGCAAAAAATGAAAAATTAAAAAAAAAATTTATAGAACTTTGATTTTATGTTATCCTTTTTTAAGTATATTCGAATATACAAAGGGAGGAAAGGGCGGGGGAGTAAGGATGAGAGGGGAAAAATTTCATTTGAAATTTGAATTTTCCTTTATCTCTAAGAGAGCACGCCTCGATTATTTATGCTTTAAACAAATAATAATAATAGATTGCGCGTTTGGAATTTTTGAAAAGTACAAGAAGAAAAAAAAACTAAAGTAAAAGAAATAAATTTTAAAGGTTTTGTACCTAAAGAGGATTTTTTCTTATTTATACCCAAATACATGTAAAATACGTTCATATAACATGAAGTAATAATAAATAATAAGGAATGTAAAAGATTAATCAAAAGAAACTATAGGAATAGTAATTAGGAATTTGGAAAACTAGACAATTCACAATAAAATTACTTGAAAGTAGATCTCGAAATACGTGATGAGGCAAAATGTATTCAAGACTTTAATTGCAAGGTACAGAAAATGTAAATTGATTTTAAAATAAATTTCCTCATTCGAAGCTTTCATTTTAATCCGAATTTTACTATTGCTATTGTCATATGCTTTCTAAAAATGGGTTTGTTTAAACTCCTCTTTTGTAAACCACAATATTTTCACGAAAATATAGCGTTTGTTGATAGCAATATCCAATGTAGCTACTCAACTTCTCT